TTTTGGCTATATTTTACTGTAGTTAGCTATATCTTCTATGTAGGTCAGTGTGTTGTGTTGTTGGTCTGAATGATCATTGGAAAGAGGAGGAATTTTAATATTTTTGTTTTCAATACTATTATTAATATTATAACAGATTTATTAATAGTATAAATTCAAAATAATATAATAATATAAATATATCTTATAGAGATACAATTTAGTAACTCTTTCTATAAATCACTTAAACTAGGTTTCTAAAAAAAATTTTGTTATAACTAAAATTCTACTAAGTAAACTTTCTTTGGGCTATTAAGTAAAGTTGTTCTACAAACAATTTTACTTCCAAATAGTCTAATTTTATATCTTTATACTAGATATTGCAAAAGATATTAATATTTTTATTTTTCTACTATTTTTGTTTATTTACTCATCTTGCTTATTAATAATAAAAGATCTAGCTTACAGTATAGATTATTTTAATAAAAGTTTTATTATAAACAAACAAAACTAAGAAAATTATCTCAAAAAACCTCTTTAAAGACTTTTTTTTTTTTTGTAAATTAATCTAGAATATTTCAAAAGCAATTTCAGAAATTTTACTAGTTTCTTTGAAAAAACAATTTTTTAAAACTTTTAAACTATCCAATTTCAGAAATTTTACTTACAACTTCTAAAAAATCTATAGGCTTTTTGAAAAAATTTTTAGCTACTTCTTGTAACCTAAATATTAGATTTAACTATAACTAAACTATAACCAAAATCTTAAATCTAACTATAATTTAACTATAACCAAAATCTTGAACTTAACTGTAATCTAATTGTAATTTAACTATAACCTAACTATTATCTACTTTAACTTTGCTTACTACAATTAATACCACTTCTAACTTCTTTAATATTAACTACTTTTTTACTTACTATAGTGACTATCATAAGGTAAGATTTGCTAAAGCAGAGTCTGACACAGAATATATTCTTATTATTTGCTTTGATTCTTAGAAATATGATCTAGTCAAACTCTGTTATTTTATGAAAATCTTTAACAACTCTATATAGCAACTTTCTATTACAAATAATATCATACTACTTTCACCTAACTTAGATACAGATACTCTGAAACTTTCAGATCCTCAACTCCTACTCTTCTATTTCACTACAACTAATCTCAAATCTTAGTAACTAACTTTTTATAAAAGTGACCTTTTATTACAATCTCCTATTAAACTCAGTACTTAAGCTTCATCTACTCTTTACTTTTTATCTACTATATTTACTTCTGCTAAAACTATTGATCTGTTTATAGTTACAATTGCTAGTTATTTATATCACTTCTATATATATATAATTTACTATCTACAAAACATTATTTACATAGTTCTTGCAAACCAAAAATATTTTCTTGAATTAATTATAATAATTATTAATAAAAAGTTTATATATTAATAATGTTTTAATTAAATAAAAATTAAACTCAAGCAAACTCAACTCTCATACTTACTCTTAAACAAAAATTTACTTATAGTTTAATCAAATTTATTCTCAAAACTAAAAAAGCAAAATATGAATTTCTTAAACAAATTAAAATCTCTTTTAACAAAAACAAAAAATCCCAATCTATATATAATACTTCTAAGGATATTGATTAGTTTGCAGAATTTTTAATTACTGATAATATAAAGCTATATATACAACTTAACAATCTTTCAATATTAAAAATTTTTGATTTTATTAAATCTCATTTAATCAATTTTAAATCTAGTTAAAACAAACCAAAATCCTACTCTTAAACTACAAATAATCTAACTATATTAATTTTAAAAAAAACTAAATAATCCAAATATACTTTTAAAAATCTTCTCTATACTCTAGCTAGCAAATATCTAGATTTCTTAACTAACTTTATATATAAAACTAATTCTGATATTAACTATTTAATTAAAATTCTATTTAATATCTTTTATTCAACTTTTATATCTTTTTTTTTTATTTGCTGAAGTTCTATTTATACAACTAAACTACAAATATATTTTTTCTTTTTACAAAAGTATTCTACTCTATACAATCTCTAATAGAATTAATTTTGTAATTAATCTTACTAGACTTTATTTCTATTTCAACTACTCTTACCAAACTATTAACTATGAATTATTCATAAAAAATCTCAAAATTATATCTATTTATATACAATTGCATTACAACTTTCTTATTAATAAAGAAAATAGTTCTCTTGTTATAATTAAAAATGATAACAGGTTTAATATTTATATTGACCTTAATATTCTTTTTTTTTTTTTTTTTTTTTTTTTTTTTACTTTATACAAATACTATCAGCTTAACTTTTATTAGTTTTATAGTTATAGCACATGATACATATTATGAGAATACAACTAGCTACAGATATAATTTTAGATTATCTAATTTAAGTAGTCTACTTGAAGATTCTATACTAGCTGCTATATCTGAAATCTTTTAGAAAATTCTCTATTTAAACTCTTTGGTTCTATCTTACTTATCACAAGTATTATACTTTAAGTAAACTATAACTCTGTACTACTTTACTTTGAAAGACACCCAAACTAACATATATTGTAAACTTTACTATTATAAGCCTAAGCTTTATCAAATAAATACTATCTTAATGCCTTCTAATAGATAGATATTATAATACCTAACTATGCTATACTATAACTTTACTATATTATAACCTAATCTAGCTTATATATACCTTTATTCAATATTTATACAAATTTAGTTTCTGCTATAGCTCTCTACCAGATTAGACTTCTATATTTTCTAAATATTTTATAAGAAAATCCTCCTAATCTAGTTAGCTGCTAAGCCAAGTTGGTGTTGCTATACAACTAGTATAACAAACTTACTTGTACTTACTTGATCTATATTCTTTATATACAGTCCTCTTTACTGAATCAAGTATTAACTAGTACAACTATTAAAATCTGTACTACTTTATCTAACTCAGGATTTTTACTATACAGGTCTTCTGCTCATAGATCCTATCAAAATTTATTTGTGTAATATTACATCTCTTCAAATATTGTATCACACTTCCAATATCTGATTAACATTAGTACAATATCTATTATATTGCTTCTACTTCTTTAAAAATAGTAATTAACTAAAGAAACTAATAATATTGAATACTTTGTATAATATCAATAAGTTACTATATTTTATCAAAATTAGTAGAGTATTTTTATAAAACTTAACAAAGAAGATTTTTGATAATTTGCAATTATAAAAGAAACAACAGTTAAAAATATATAAAAATATTAATAAATATTTATTTTAAGATATTTTATTATTAAAAGTATATGAAAAACTTACTATTGAACTAGAAGTCTACAAATGCTGCTTTTATAACCAGCAAAATATTATAAATATAACAAGTTATATATCTATTATATGAGCTAAAAATAATATAACTATCAACTAATAAAATATATACTATAACTAATATAAAATATAAAAGAAATATGATATATGATATAATCAATTTGATAAGCTATTGATCTTGATGTATAAGATGTGACCAATCAGTTTTGTGACAAATAAACATTTGCTATGTAAGCATATTGCCAATGCTTATTTGTCACTATAATTGATCACACCCTCAAATATTTGAGGTGTGACCAATCTTTAGTGATGAATATGCATTGGCTACCAATGTTTATTAGTTATAACCACGATTTGTCACACCTATACACTGAGATTAATAGCTTATCGAATCGGTAAAAGGCTAATTTTTAGCAGGTGTCTCACAAGAATAATGAAAATAGCAGTAATTGAATTTACTTCCGGCATCTTTGGCTAGTCGGCATTAACCCAATCACATGACCACTGTGCACCTAAACGTTAGAATAACCGTTTAACGTTAATATTGCTTAATTATTTTTCTTATAATTATTTTTTTTACCGGTATACTTATCATTGTATATTTGTTAGCTTTTTGCTTTTCTTCATCTAATCTATTCCATGCTGTTGCTATAGCAACCTTTTCTATTCGTATACAAGTGTCAAATTATGACCAAAACGACTTATATCAATTTAGAATTTCAAATCAACGTACTGGTGCAAGTAGAGTTAATATTTGGATTCGAATTATAAATATGTAGGATATATAAAAGTAAATTACAATAAATTTATTAAGATAATAAATCGAAAAAGTTTAATTACAATATAATTCTATCTAATTGTTACAAACCCTTTTTTCTTCTGCTAATTCTACAAGATCTATTAAATTTCTATTATTTCGTAGATTCTATTCTTTCCTATACCAATTTTTTTTATCATATAACCTGGAGTCTATTTAAATTTCTAAAGTTATAATATTATTTACATGAAGCATCTTTTTCAATGCTTTTATTTCTAAACGACTAAACATATTTTCAAAAAGATTTAAGAAAGTCATAGTAGTATTTACACAAAGAGCTTCTACTAATGATTTTCCTCCTTCAAAACCGATTCTATTTTTACCAAGGTCTAAAGAAATTAAAGCGATATTTTTTGAAAGAGCCCTTCCTAATGCTTTTCCTCCTTCAGAACCAAGTTGATTAAAACAAAGATTTAATGATGTCAGAGTAGTGTTCACGCAAAGAGCCTCAGCTAACGCTTTCCCTCCTTCAAATCCAATTTCATTATCGCCAAGATCTAAAGAAGTTAAAGTAGTATTTTGGCAAAGAGCTTCTGCTAATATTTTTCCTGCCTTGGTTCCAAGTAGATTACCATATAGATTTAAAGAAGTTAATGTAGTGTTTACACAGAGAGCCTCTGCAAATGCTTTTCCTCCTACAAAACCTATTTCATTATCACTAAGATTTAGAAAAGTCAGGGTAGTATTTTTACAAAGAGCCGCTGCTAGAATTTTCCCTCCTTTAGGTCCAAGATGATCACTTGAAAGATTTAAAGATGTTAAAGTAGTGTTCATGCAAAGAGCCTCTGCCATTGCTTTTCCCCCTTTAAAACCAAGTTGATTATAATCGAGACGTAAAGAGGTTAATGAAGTATTTACACAAAGGGCTTCTGCCAATGCCTTTCCACCTTCAAACATGAGTTGATTACAGTAAAGATTTAATGAATTTAAAGTGGTATTATTACGAAGAGCCTTTGCCAATGCTTTACCACCTTCAGAACCAAGGTGATTATATCCAAAATTTAAAGAAGTAAGAGTGGTATTTTTACAAAGTGCTTCTGCTAATGCCTCACCAACTTCAAAATCAAGTTGATTATAACAAAGGTCTAAAGAAATTAAGGCGGTATTTTTACAAAGAGCTTCTGCAAACATTTTTCCACCTTCAGATCCAAGTTGATTATATCCAAAATTTAATGACGTTAGAGAAGTATTTTCATAAAGAACTTCGGCAAATGTTTTTCCACCATCAAATCCAATTTCATTACTACTAAAATCTAAAGAAGTTAAAGAGGTGTTTTTACAAAGTGCTTCTACAAAGAATTTTACTCCTTTAAGACTTAGTTGATTATATTTAAAATTTAAGACATTTAGAGTAGTGTTTTTGCAAAGAGCTTCTGCAAAAAGTTTTTCTTCTTCGGTACCAAGTTGATTATATTTGAAATTTAAAGTGGATAAGGTAGTATTTTTACAAAGTGCCCTTGCTAATGCTTTTATACCCTCAAAATTAAGACAATTATCATAAAGATCTAAGGAGCTAATTGTTGTGCTTCTATAAAGACGTTCACCCAATAACTCTGCTATATTATCATAAATAATTCCGTCAATGCTTAAACTCTTAAGTTTCTTACTTGTTCGTAGAAACATTGCAATCAAAGAACATTTAACAGCATTCACAGACTCATCTTCTTTAAGAACAATTGAACTAAAAGGTCTATCCGTATTATGTTCTTCAGTATTAAGCCAATTTTCGATTCCTTGTTTTAAATAACAGTCAACAGATGTGATATAACTTGTATATTTAAATAATAACTCTGAATAATTCGGAAAAATTATATTAAATGGAACTAATAATGCTTGTTCTTCTGCATTTAATGTTAGAAGACAAATTCTTATAAGATTTTTATCCTTAAAATAAATTGATGGTTCGCTCCATAATATTGGTACAATAATTCTACACCATTGACGATTTACAAGAAGACTTGAAAATAAACTTCTACGATATGTGCGAAGATTGTTAAATATTTCGAAAAGACATTCGTTTGGTAATGTTATCATCTTATAAATTTAGTTAAAAATTTTGGACGTAAGTACGTACGTGCATAAAAAAAAAAAAAAAAAAAAAGGAAAAAAAAAGAGAATGATTGATATCTAACAATAAATAATGTTGTGAAACATTTTTAGGCACTATGATGATTTTCTGCATTTACGTAACGCCGCATTTTTCGGTTCCCAGAGCTAGGTTCAATGAATACCTAAAATTTTCTATTGGCGTTATCGTTAAATTTGAGTATATGTTGCATCTGCTTATAAAATTTAATTTAACCAGATAGTTTTAGATTTGTAACGCTAGGGCGTTTAATTTTGAGCTAGCGTTACCACTCTAAAAATTTCGCTGGCCAATCATATTTCAGATCAAGGTGTAACGCGAAGATTAAATTAAGATTTTGCCTTCTGCGCATTACTGGGACAGCTGATTAAAATTTTGACCGAATAAATATTTGCCGATTCGATAGGTTTTTGATTCGGCAATGATAAACTTTTTATTTGGAGCATGATTAGTAATATAAACAAAATATGTTTTTAATACATAGTGATAGTATTCTGAACATTTTACAATGTCAACATTAAGTTTTCGCTTGAATGCATGTCCGGTATGTTTAGTGGGTTTAATCTGTATGAAAATTTATGGCAACAATTGCTCTTGCTAACTAATAAATCATAATACCTGAAAAAAATTCTAAATATAAAATGTTGATTGGATTAAAAAAAATATTAATTCCAAACAACCAAGATTTTATTAATATTTATCGAAACTGCATTAAGAATTATAATCAACAAACAAAGTAAAAATTTATAAATTACATTATTTTATTTAAAGTTGTTATTTAAAGTTTTTATTGAGAACTTGCGGTTTGTCACCGGGACCAACTAACCATCCTTTTATTCAGCAACTGGACGACCTTATCGAAAGAGGCGGTTAGATTTGGTAGGTGGATGTCCTAGGGCTTAGGTCGTCTATCCTAGTAATACAGGACGAAAATTATCACTTCGGGGTGGTATGGTAATCATGGAATGAACAATGGGGTTCACGAAGTTAATTTTACTATGCCGCTTAGTAGAATCAGAGGGTAATTAAAGGAATGTTTGGATTAGGTAGTAGGACTTAATTATGTATTAACGGGTCAATTCATCTCAAAGGGCAAACACGGCCTTTATTTATAATAAAAGTTGCTATTATCACGGTGTAAAAGTGACGGTCCAAGAAAACAGAGTCGGAATTGCGCCGAAAGCCCAAAGTGGCGATGTTAAGTCTATGGCGTGTCAATCCGAATAACATCCAAGAATTATCCAACGTGTCGCCCCGATTTGCATACAAGTCATTAGGACCAAGTTCCCAAGAAATAACATAACAAATATCGTATGATAAAATCATACGATAGCAGCATCCAAGCATATATTCAATAAACCATATAAGGGTCGTTACAACAAGTTAGGTTGGTAACGACTCTTATGTGCGAGGTAGGGACACATAAGGTTGATCATAATTATTGAATTTTACTTCCCCAAATCACCAACGTCACGCCTCTGGCGAGGAGCTTAAAGAAAGTATACAAATTACCCGTAACACTTGGTGGTGACTTACTATACAATTTACCCCGTAACACTATCTATACTACTGTATCTACATTGTCTCTATTCTCCTTACTGACTATTTCCCCTACATATTCCACCTGGACCAAAGTTCCATTTGGTCCTTGTTGTCAGTGTGGACCACGTAGACCATATGAACCATGCGACTATGTGGACCATGTGGACACGTAGATCAGGTCACTCTAATTCGGAGCGTTGATTCTCACTTTCCCGAAACCAATCTACCCGAAATACTATTTCCTCGACATCACATAGGGTTAGAATTATATATTTTTAGCAAATTGTGATGTCGAGTAAGTGTCATGTTGGGAAATAGCTTTCGGGAAATCATACTGTTACCACCAGAATCTACCTATTCTAAGATCCTGGGTGACGGTTTACTTTAGCTATAGATATCGGTAAACTGATACGGATATCGGGTTTGTGCTAAGTAAGTTATGTATATCGCTGTTAAGCGTCGAGGCAAACGATTAAACGTATATGAAGATACGAATGATCGTTACAACAGTTTATCAATTAATAAAATATTACCAGTTATTAAGACTAAACACGTTAGTCCCTCAGAATAACTATGTCTTTGAGTTTATTCAATAGTCGAATAATACTATTCTTAAGTTTATTCAGAACAAACTGTCGATTTCCCAGAGGGATATCGGGGTTATTTATACATTTTAACGATTATGATCGTTGACTGTTATATCTATCGACTATACTATATCTATTCTATCGGTTAATTATACATGATATAATATATCTAATATATATAATCAGATCTTTAATAATTAGTATATTGATTATAAACGATAACTCTTTTAGATCTTTAGTATTGTATTACGTATTGGTCTGTAACGTTTTACTTAGTTTTATCACGTGACCTGTAGTGTGATGTCGATTGTCATATTGGGAATCCTATACGGTTTTCCGGATCTAACAGTCGGAGCGTCTACGAGCACGTACCAATCACATGAATATGCACGTACTATTATATAACTCTAAAACCTGTCACATGTTAATATACTTACCTAAAGTTAGGTACGTGAATTGGTACGTGCCCGTAGACGCTCCGTCTAACAGTAATTTGGAAGTGCCAAAGTCACGTGGCACGTGACTTCGCCGGGTTCACGTTAAAGTCATCTACACCAAAAATTTAGAACGTGATTTTCATAACAAGAACCAATCATATTCCAGGATCTGAATTCTCTATTAAAATCACTTCTGCAGAGTAAAAAAAATTCTTTACTAATTTTTTAGTAAGCATTATACTCTTACTGTATCTCTAACTTAATAATAAGATTTATTTTTAAATTGTTTTGATTTTTATGTTAAATTTGATCTTAAAAACAATTGGTTTGTGTTATAAAAAAATTATATCTTTAAACAATCTAACAAACCAATACTAGCATTATTCATCGCCTTCCTTTTATTCTAAATGTAATTGCATATATATCTAGAGGCAAACTACAAAGTTAGAGTGATAAAAGTCGAAATAATGTTTGTTAGTAAGATAAACTTTAATTATGAGAAATAATAGATGACGAAATTATAATTTATTAATTTTAATAAAAGAATTAAACCAAATCTAGAAAAATAAATCTATTGAATAAATTAATTATTCTACATTAGATACTTGTACTTCACTAATATTAATTCTTATTTCTTGTAATTCTAAATTTTTTAGATTTTCAAAATTTTTATTACATCAATTATTTCACCTTTTTCTTTTATAATATTCATATCTAGAAATTCAAAATAATTCAAATAATAAGAAACTATGGTATTAATAATTTTTGGATTCTCACCAAAATGTTTTACTAATCTACTAAAAGCTTTACTACAGATTACAAATGATATTTTAGTTGTAATGGAGTTAGTACTAATTAAATATTTAATCTGATAAAATTAAGGGAATTTCTATTTTCACCCGGGTTAAAGTCACCCAAAATATTAAATAAACTTTCATTTACTTTAGAGTTAAGGTGCGGCCTGGAATTTTATCTAGGAATTAGTATATATAAAATTTTACAAGGGATTTTTTTGTTAGAGACTACTAATACTATCAATTTTAGTCACACGAACTTTATTGTAGTCTATCGAGTAATTTTAACCCAGGTGAAAATAGAATTACCCTAAAATTAAATATTTTGATACAACAGCTGGATAAATTATTAATATAGAAATAATAATATGATTAACGGAAACCAAAAAACTATGAAGAGTATAATGACTTTTAAGAAATAATTTCAACCAACTATGAGTTTTCAACATTTGGCAATAAGAGTAAAGTAATAAATACTAGCCAATAAACTTAGTTACATAGAATATATAATTTATAACTTTCAACAATTCGCATCTGTTAAGATTAAAATTTTTAATATAATATTTACTAATATGATTGTAAAATAATTTGCAAGTTTTTTTTTTTTTTGAAAATATTTCGTATCTCGTTGTTTTACTATGAAGATATATAAAAAAAAGTAAGTATATACTATTGAAGACCAGAAATATATTTATCAGAGAGGACGTTTTTTTTCACCAAAACTTTTAAACATTCCAATTATCAGTACTGAAAATAATCCAGTTAAAACTGTACGTATTAATTATATCACCAAGTGGAACATAATGATTGTTTAATTCCATTTTATATGTAAAAATTTTTTTTTAATAAAATAATCTTTATTTATTGTTTGAGATCCTTACACAATGAAAATAAATTTAATTAACTCGTCGAGTCCAATATTACAGCCTGGTAAACAGAGTTATAATCGTCATTAATCGATACGTTGAGTTAATCACTAATAAATACATAAACTTAATGTTTTTCAGATATATTTACAGGAAAAGTTATTAGATGAAAATGTGTGTTAGCTGGGATAAAGGGAATAATATTTATTCTAGCTGAATAGTAATTATTAAATTTTATCTCATTAGAGTAATCTAATAAATTTGATAAAAAAATTTAACATACACGTTTGTTCAAGATCTGCTAGTATGAGTAAAATTTAGGGATTGGAACCGCCTAGAATTTCTTTAATAGTTTAAACATTTAATCATATTAACCGTTTAACTCTGCTGGCATTAAGATAACCTTGGCCCATGATCAACATAATTTGGCCCGAAATTACGGAACAATTTCTATGCGGTTAAACGGTTCCAATCCCTAGTACGTAAAATTAGTGAAATCAATATGTGATCCTTTATTAAAAACCGCAAGATCCTTTAGCTGACAGTAACAATGGCTAGATTATATTCATGAATTACAAATGTATATACTGATTAATACGTAAGTTTATATAATTAAGCTACGATATCATTTAATAACTTGATCAATAGCTATCCTTTTTTTTTTTTTTTTTTTTTTTTTTTGAAAGAAAATGTTTTTTATTGAACATTCAATTACATGAAAATTTTACAAATAACCAATTCATATGAATAATTCAAGTTTCTATAACAAACTAATGTTTTTGAAAGAAAAAAAAGGTAATTATAGAAAATTACTAGTGCCTTTTACTTAAACTATTATAAATTTAAAATTTTTATCATTATATTCGTATATCCAGAGTCGACTATAAATATATTTAATATCTATTATGAACTGGGATCACATTAAACGAAATAGAAATATACTTTTTTGCTAACAAATAGGAAAACTAAAAAGCGTACAATCATGCTAGTTGTCAAGTTATAGAAGTTGTAAAGTTGCCGCTCGTATGGGACAATCAAATTACTAATACTATAATTGATTATTCTACTTTAGGTTTTAAAGATTCATGAGAGTTACTATTTCCATTTATACATTTTGTATAAAAGAATTTAGTTATTTTAAATAAAGTATAACCAAAACCACCAATTAAAGTTAAAAATAGCATAATAGCGACACCATAAACATCTAAATAATTTCCTCTAATGAAACCCATCCTTGAACTAGGAGTAATCCAATCTCTCAATAATATTTTATTATCAATTTTAAATGTCCCATTTTCATCTTTAAAACCTTCATGCATAGCAGTATTTAACACTACTTCAATTAAATCAGCAGCTCTATACTTTCTTTTACTATTAACTTTAGCTAAAAATTGTAATCTTTTCGCATTCTTTTTAAAACTTTCTTCATTTAATAATCTTTTAACTTTTGAAATTATATCATTAACATCTAAATTATCCTTTGAAACTTTTAAAGCAATACCAGCTAACTCCAATTTTTCAGCATTTCCAAGTTGGTCACCCAATACAGGGAGTATTAGCATTGGTTTAGCATAGTACATTGATTCATGACTACTAGAAGCACCACCATGACTTAAAAATAATTTAGTATTTTTATGAGATAGTATTGCGACTTGAGGAGCATATTCAATTAAGTGAATATGAGGGTTATTATTGTTTAATATAGTTGATAAGGTGATATCTGACTCAGTTAATGATAATAATTCTTTGGTATTAGTAAGCACAGTAGCCCATATTACACCATCTATAATTCCTTGATTGATTAGTTCAAGAAAAGATTTTAAAAGGGTAAAAATGTTTTGAGGTGATAAGGTTCCAAAGGTTCCAATTGCAAAGTATATTGTTCGAGGATTATTAGCAAGGAATAAATTAAGAGCTGGTGTTAGACTTGGATATTCTTCAGGCAGAATAGGACCAATATGTTGATGGAGTGGTGATTCAGCACTTGGTATCTTTACAAAATAAATAAATTTAATTTAGGCACAAAAATTCTTACAATTCATTAGTTTGCAAGAATTAATTTTATTACATAATCACCTCAAATCCAAAGAAATTATGGTATAACATTAAAATATTAGAAGTTCGACTTTTTAGGTCCCAATTTGGTTCGATACCCACTTTGGCTCTTTGAACATTTAAATCGTTTATATATGCAATCATAATCCCAATCGATTGTAAAGGAGATATTAAAACGCATTTAAATCTGTTATAAAAGGATTCAATTTCCATATTTACAGGACATCCAAATAAAGGATCGGATTTATATGGAGTAAAGGAAACTAATAAAGAAATTATTAAGGTTTGTATGCGATTATAAATAAAATATATAATATTTATATGAACTTACAAGGATATATATTGGACGAAAAACCAACAACAGGCTTTCCTAATTTCCAGGCAAGGTCAAAACATGGATCATTCGCAAAAAAATCACAAAAAAATAAATCAATATTAATTTCTTCATCAGTTTTTTTATAAAAATTATAAAGAGACACATAGGATGAGATAGCTAGTTTATAAGCTAAACGGATAGGTTCAAGATATTCAGTGGAAAGAAAACTTTCTTTTAAAAGAATTTCATATTCATTTGTGTCTTTGTTATCAAAAAGAATTTGCGGAATTGAACTATAATATGAAGATTTTGTCGTGAAGTTTCTTTGAGCTACTAATGTTACCTAAAATCAAAAAAAGGCAAGAAAATTATAATACGTAAAATAATTTAATAAATTAAATAAATTTAATAAATTTAATAAAAATTATATTATTTTACATTATATCCTCGATCCATTAAAATCTTGCAAATTTCTAACATTGGAGGAAGATGACTTTCTGTCGTTATTAAATAGATTAATTAATATTATAAATCATAAATTAAAATAATAATAAAATTAAAAATATATTAAATTAGCAAATTACTGCCGACAAAAGAAGCAACGAGTATGTTTTTAGGTACGTTACTCCTGTCTAAGGATAGGTCTCGTTTGATAAAGTTTGTTGAATCCACGAATTCGGAAGATTGTTTTACAAAAAATATAACAAAAAGCCAAAGAACAAGTAATAAAAGTGAATGTTTTGAACCCATTTTTTTAATAGAATTTTTTTTTAGATATAACAGATAGCTTTTGAATCATTAGGAAAAACTTTCATAAAAATTAAAATTATATAAACGATAAACCACACGGAAAATATATTATCACTATACTAATTGATTTTAGCAAGATAATCTTAACGGTGTTTACAGATTTGGAAATGCGTACGCAGATTTTAATATATCTGATATCACATACAGTCAACTTTCTTTACGAACTGACAGTTCTGAAAAAAAAAAAAAAAATTAAATGTTAAGTCCTCCAATTAGTCGAAAAGTGTCACATTTCACGATATTTATTTTAGAATATGCCGAATCAAAATTCTAATCAACATATATAATATTTCATTCTGTGGACAATTATATTAGTAATGTGGGCTTCAGAAATAAAATCAGAAAACTATTTAGAATGAAGTGAGTGATGCATTTTTTTATTTCGAAAAATAAATTTTCATGTCACACGAAGATCTTAAATACAAATATATTGGCATCGTTACTAATTAAAAAAAAAATTGTTTATACTGTATTACGTATAAGGGTTTATTTTCCTATTTAGCTTGGTTCCAATTGGTCTACTTTTTTTTTATTCGATCCTGATTTTGGACTAGAGAATTTAGCGTTAGTGATCATTTCCAATTAAGTATTGGGATTGACAATAACGTGTTTTTTAATTTATCAGAACGAGAGAATTTAGCGTTAGTGATCATTTCTAAATAAGTATTGGATCTAGGGATTGGAACCGTACCACATAAAAATTGTAATTTCGGGCCGAATTATGTTGATCATGGGCCAAGGTAATCTTAATGCCAACCGAGCTAAACGGTTAATACGATTAAATGGTTAAACGATTAAAGAAATTCTAGGCGGTTCCAATCCCTAATTGAATCATTGGACTACTGTAATAACGCAACTTAGAGCAGTAGAAATTAACCACGTCGTTATTGGGAAATGGAGTAATTGATAATCGTTATCGTTATAGAATAGAAGCCTGAAAAGTTACTTTAACAGTAGAAAGCCCGTCCCTTAATGCAGGTCCCATTAGAATAGAAAGTCGAGAGTTTTAACTGTGAAAAGATTTAGAATCGTTAAATTGAATTTAGTTAAAACCGTACACTCCTAAAAGTTATAAAAGAGTTGTAATTCTACCTTAGTAAAAGGATAAAACTCTAATCTCTAACCATAAAAAATACAATATAAAGTTTCAAAAACCTAAATAATCTAGTCGTCCAAATTACCTTAATAGCGCCTCTGGTGAGTCGCATTATAAATTTTTTTTATGTAAGACTGTTCCTACCCTTATCAACGTAAATAATCTACTCAAATATCTGATATGCTATTCACCTCTTATTTAATTTCTTATTAATGTTGATTTAGGTTGTTCTCAAATACTTTACTCAATTGATCTGAGGAAAAATTTAATAAATTGAATAAACTAACCAAATGAGTTATCATTTTGATGAATAATATGGAGGTTCAGACAATAATTATTAAGTAACATTTCTGATACTTTCAAATTATATTGAGGGCTGTTTAAGAACTCGAATATATATACATATTTAGTACCTGTTTCATGTTGATTCAAAATATAGGATCGTCACAATTATCTGAAAGTACTCTAGAGCAGTGTAGGAAATCTGTTTTAAAATCTATGTTCTCAAGAGCACATATATATTTAATTTAGTGTTCTCAAAATTTTATTTATGTTCTCAACTAATAAAATTTTTTTTTCTCACTTTTATTCTTTCTCTTTTTTTTTTTCTTACTTATTTACTCATTTACTTACTTACTTATTTACTTATTTACTTACTTACTTAATTACTTACTCACTTTTTCTCTCTCTCTCTTTCTCAAAAATTTATATATATTTAAAAATTTTGTATTTATTATATAAAAAATTATTTATATTTATTTATTT